GAATCCGGAAGGAACCCGTTTGGAGGCGAGGGGCGTGGCCCCGGCCAAGAACTGCTCGGGGAGTTCTTGGAAGACGCTGTTTGTAGTGTTCGGGCGGGGTCCAGAGAAGAGGGCGAGGCGGGACTAATTTGCATATTCACCCCTTGGCTGTGAGTGACATTAGATTTGCTCTGCCCCTCGCTTGTTGACTAGTTACCTACCTCCCGGCCTCAGGCTCAAATTTCCTCGCTATGATTACGTCCCTATCCTGCCTGGCTTGCAAGTGGGCCAAGGCGTGGCCTATGTGGTGCCCTCCAGGGGCGGATGGACCTCGCCCAGAGCCCCGGAACCGGGTAAACCGGTCTGCGTGCGGCTTCTGGGCTGGTCCAGACCTGTGGCCTAGCCTTTCCCAGATCCACATAGGCTGAACCGGGGCTTCCTTCCCTTCCGGTGCCCAAGCCTGGGTTTGGGAGGTCTAGGGGAGAATGGGACATCAGAATGAGAGACACGACTAAAGCTGCCCCTTACTCTCTTGCAGGGCGATCCTATCAGGACCTCAGTTACTCCATCTGTAAAAAGTGGAAGTTAAAAGGACGGAACCTAAAGGAAGGTTGCAAATGTATCATTCAGTCACAAAAACTACTTAAGTTAAGCGCTACACTCAGTCCCTGCCCTCCTCATGGTGGAGACCGCAGTCTAGAAGAGGAGACAAACCCAGAAACAAAAGTAAGATCGCAGCTGTGATAAATTTTACCAAAAATGAAAAAATGTTTTAAAGTAGCTCTTCATCTGAATATCAGTAGGGGTCTAGGGCCAAAATGGGGAGCAGACAGGGAACACTTCCCTGAAGATTTGCTCCTAGAGTTGAAGTAGGTGCTTTAGCTAGGCAAAGAAGACAGTGGAAAAGAGAAGGCCATGTGGCTGGGATGATTGTAGAAGTGTAAGGAACAAAAAGCAAGTCAGTGGGGCCAGAGGATGATGCAAGATTAGGCCGGAGATGGTACGCATCAAGCAGGATCTTGCAGACAACGGTAGGAGTTTTGTCCCTCTTCCAGAAGCAGAATTGCCCAAGTTCTGGAACAGGGTGGCAAAATGATTCAATGATATTTAAATAGCATGGAATGAACCCCTCAGAGTTTTTCTCTCTTTTCAGCTTGCATCCTTCTCAGCCCAAGGATACTTTTTTCCTGTTGGTAACAATGTGTTTTGACATTGGCTAATCTGTCTTTATAACCCATTGGCTACTGTTTCAGCAGGATCTTATGACATTGTTTTGTTTTCACTGTAACATTTTCAAACAGTTACCTTCTACGTATGTTGAGTGATTAACAAGTGGGTTAAGTCAGAGAAAAATATTAGGTAAATAGTAACACTGTTAGCTGGGTGAGGTAGCATGCCCCTGTAGCCCCAGCTACCGGGGAGGTTGAGATGGGAGGATCTCTTGAGCTCAGGAGTTTGAGGCTGCAGTGAGCTATGATCACACCTGTGAATAGCTACTGAACTCTAGCCTAGGCAACATATTGAGATCTAGTCTTTAAAAAAATAATAATAGTGCGTTTGTTATGAAGATATCACAAATATCCTGACCCTTAACCATGTGAGGTCTGGGAAATTCTATTTAAGCACTGTGGAAAAGGCATCTGTTAAATGAGATGATAGATATTAAACACTTAGCACCTATTTGCCTGAGATAACTTCATTCATTCATTCATTCAGGCCTGGGCTGGGCATTGGTGAAATCGACATTTGAATTGGGGTGCAGATGCTAAATAAAACATATGATTTTAGGTAGTGATCAGTGTGTGATGTTATATTGGGCAGCCAAAGAAAGATTTCCCAAGGAGGTGACAGACATTTCAATTGAAACCTGAAGAAAGTGAGGATGGACTTGAAGACAGTTGGGAGAACAGCATTGCAGGCAGAAGAAATAGTAAGTGCAAAGGCCCCAGAGCTGCAATGCACTTGGCCTATTCTCAAAGCAGAAAGGAGGTCAGTGGTGGATGGAGCAGAGGGGAACCTGGATCAGCAAAATGATCCAATTTGTGTTTTATAATGTCAGTGTGGCTATTATACAGAATAGATTTTGAAGAAAAAAGCAGGGTGGAGGTCACCACCTTAATAAAAGGTGCAAGGTGATGGCCACTCACATCAGGGAAGGAGCTGAGCCATGAAGTTATGGAAAGGCTTGGAGCAGGGTGAGAGGCTGAGTTGACAGCACCTGCTGCTGGAAAGAGTATTAGGAAGGGAGAAATAATGAGTCAAGGAGATCCTTCAATTGGAAGAGTGCCGCCATTGCCATTGGTCCAGAAAAAATAGGGTAGTAGGAAAGAGCAAGAATCCTCTTTGGGTCCTGAACATTTGGATGGAACACCTTAGACCCCCTCAAGGAGACATCAGGAAAGAGAGGCTTGCCAGACAAGTCTGGAGGGGGAAGTTCAGGATAGAGAGCTAAATTTGGGGTCTATAAAGAGGTGGTATTTATTTATTTGGGAGAAGTCTCATTCCATCACACAGGCTGGATTGCAGTGGTGGCATCTTAGCTCATTGCCACCTCAAACTCCTGAGCTTTAGTGATCCTCCTGCCTTAGCCTCCTGAGTAGCTGGGACTACAGATGTGTGCTACTATATCCAGCTAATTTTTCTTATTTTTGTGTAGAGATGGGGTCTTTGTCGCCCTGGATAGAGTGCTATGGCATCATAGCAACCTCAAACTCTTGGGCTGGAGAGATTTTTTTGCCTCAGCCTACCAAGTAGCTGGGACTCCAGGCACCTGACACAATCCAGCTATTTTTAGAGACAAGGTCTCCCTGTGGCTCAGGCTGGTCTCAAACTTGTGAGCTCAGGCAATCCACTCACCTTAGCCTTCCAGAGTGCTAGGATTACAGGTGTGAGCCACCATGCCTAGCCTTTAAAGATGGGATCTTACTGTTGCCCAGCGTGATGTCTGAAACCCTGGCCTCAAATGATCTCCTTGGCCTCTCAAAGTGTTGGGATTACAGGCATGAGCCACCATGTCTGGCCTTTACTCGTATTTCTATATTTGCTTTTAAATGTCCAGTGTTGTTATCCTGAGCCCTAACAATAATAAAATAACACATATACCAATTAATTTGTTTCAGGCACTATGCTAAGCACTGAACGCGCATGATATCGCTTAATTTCTGCAAGGAGGCAGGGACTTATATTATCCCCAACTTACAGCCAGAGAAACTGAGGCCCGGAGGTGAAGTGACTTGCTCAGGGCTATACAGCAAGCCTGTAGAGCTGGCCAATTGGCTGTCACTCACACATAGTTCTAGGTTCCCTGTGTTGCCTGTGTGTGTAGATCTATCTAGCTCAGGTCTGATATCCTCTAGTAGCAGCCAAGCATAGTCCACATTGAGCTGGTTGGTTGGGCATGTAGGCCGTTTGCAATTTGTGCCAATTCGGTACAGTGCTGCAGTAAACACCCTTCTGGAGCCTCCTGTTGCAGGCCTGGGGTTCCCTGGGGAATCTCCTGGTTGCAGGGTAAATGACTAAATGACCTTTTTCACAGCTATTGTCCAATCAGTTACTCCAGTCCTCACCAATGGGGTGTGTCTGTGACAAGTTTTTAATTTTGCCTATTGTAGTGGGTCAAATGGGGTCTTGGAGATGGATATATCTTAAGGGGATGTGGGTAGGAGTATTGCTCCAGCCAGGTCTTCCGTCCCATCACCTCTAGCCCCCAGCCCAAGTGATCGCCAGCGGAAACCCCTAAGTGGCCCAGCAGGGGGCAAGGGTCGGCCAAGTGGCTTCCCGCGGAAGGAAGGGCCTGGCGGTTCCTGCGACAGGATGCAAGGCGGCCTTGTTCCTAGCCGCCAGGGACTTCCCAGGTCGGGCCAGGCTCGCCGCGGAGTTGCTTCGATGCCGATGCCTTGAGCTAACGCCTAGGGTGTGGGGCATGGGGCTCCAGTGCCCCCAACGTCCCTTTGGGTACTTAAGGGTTGGGACTCATAGCAGGTGGTGCTGTAAGTCTTCTACGTTTTCCTGGAAGGAATTAGGCAGCATAAGAGACGAGCTTGGCTAGATATCTGGGGGAGGAGGCTCTAGGGGTGCCCCCTCCCCTCACAATCTACTAGGGAGGGTGGCTGCGGCAGTAGGGAAGCCAGAGGTCCAAGATGGCTTCAGACAGCGTTCTGGAGCCGTTCTGCCCCTCCACTGCACCCTCCTTCTACCCTCAGGGCCTCAGGGTCGGGGCCTCTGGGGGTCACGGGAAGCCAGCGCCAGCGAAGCAGCCGTCTGGAGGGGAGAGGCTGGTCCCTTAACTGAGACTCCCGCTGCCTCCTTTCCCCGCACCTGCCGCTCCTTTGACCTCTCATCAGCCCGTTTCCCCTTACCCTGAGGCCACGCCAGCAGCACCTCTCCTAAAACAAAGCAGGGGAAACCTGAAGTGTTTTTTGCTCTGTGGGTGGCTTAATTCGGGGTGGGGCGTGACTCAAGCAAATAACTAGGGTTCTCACGGGCATTTCTAAACCTAAGGCTTGGTGGGAAAGCTATTTAAAGGCCCATTTCACAGATGAGGCAACAGGGAGCTCACCTTCCTGCCAGAGACTGTAATTGGAGTATTAAGGGCACTGATAAACCTGACACACTCAAGTCCACCCCAGGCTAAGGGACTCCACCAGAGCTGATTCTGTTGAGGGGAGGGAGGAGCAAGATCTACCATCCTTCAAGGTTCCAAAGGAGGTAAGGGTCCCCAACTCTGCTTGGAACACAGTACCAGACAGTATCTTCTCAAATCCTCAAACTCAGAAAGCCCTCTTTCCCACCACCCCCTGCGTTGTAGCGGAGTTTCGAGGTAACCTCCAAATAGGAGGGTCAACGGGGAGTCGGAGTGGAATGCCACCAGCACTTCAAGTGTTGGGGCAAAGGAGGCTTAGCCCCCCTCCTGCTCACGTGGTAACAGGTCTGACCGGTTCCTGGGCCCCTAGCCAGCCGCCGCCAGAGCCTGACCCTTTAACTCTGCCCCTCCCCCAGCAAGGAAGAAAACCAGACAGCACTTTTTACTCAAATGGCCTTTATTTTCCTATCTGATATGTCTAACAAAAACTCCAGGTAGACGGAGTTAAAAGAATTCACCACGAGAAAAGTAAACAGATCCTCAGAAACTCTGTGGCAAGAATTCACCCCCTCCCAAAACTGGCCCAGTCTTCACCACTAACTGGTCCCAGCTTATTATCCTTACAGTGCTTTGAATACCGCCATCCTCTACCACCCTCCATATTTTCCTGATTCAGAACGGGACGTCCGGGTTGACTGCATCCCTTTGTCTGAGGGAAGGTTACACTTGAGACTGGGAACACACTGGCCACCTCTAACGCACCAGACGAGAAAAAATTGAAATCAAACCCCACTGCCCCCACCCGAAGGCTCAGGAGCGCAAGGCAACTAACCAGCAGCATACCCGGGCGAAGTGACTGGGGCCACTCTCCTCCCACACCCAGGGTAGGCTCACACCCCAGAACCTCCTCCCAGGCCCCACACCCACTCAAGGCAGCAGGAAGTTCCCCACGTCTGCCCCATGACGCAACGATAACCGCTTGCACAAGCATGTCAGTGGAAGGGGAAGGGAGTGCCTGGAATTCTCCGAGGTTGGAAACGCAATCACCAACTATTGACAACCCCTGAAGGAGCAACACAGCCCCTAGTAAAAAATCAAGTCCGACCCTGAGATTAAAGAACCAAGGCTCTCCTTTCCCAGTCGAGAAGGAGAGGGAAAGGTTCACGCCCCAGTCCGTTAAGACAGCACCTGTGGGCGCGGCAGGTCTCAGTGGAAGGCAGCAGCAGCGCCCGTAGCTCAGGCTCCTCGTTGCCGTTGCTGTACACATAAGGCTCCCTGGGGGACAAAGTTCCTCTCCGGGGCTCTCAACAGCCCCGCAGCGGCGACGGCTTCTCTCCACGGTTTCCGCGGGCGCTCCCCCGAGGGAGCCTGGGCTCGCCTCGGGTCTGCGCACTTGGGCCAAAGGTTCTACCCGCGCTCTGGGCTCTGGTTGCGCTGCTCGGGATCTTCAGAAGGCCACCACGGCCCTCACGAGTACGTTCAGCATATTGTCCGCCGGGCGGCAGGCTGTCTTTGCCTCGCAGGCGGGCGGCGCCGTCGGTGGGGCTCCTGGGTTGCAGTTCAGGAGGTCGGAGAAGCGCCTCTGTAGGACCCGAGCCAGGTTAGGAAAGGCGCCCTCGGCTTGGGCTGAAGAGGGCTGCAAGCTATCAGGGACCTCCGATGACGCCCCCTCCTTCTCCTCCTTTTCTTCCAGACGGGCTTTCTTGTTTGGGACCAGTCCGACGTCCCCTCCGTCATTAAGGCTGCTGCTCCGCCGCTTGCGGTTTCCTTTGGCGGGGCGCGGGGCACCACAGGCAGAAGCCTCCTCAGCTCTTGGCGCCTCCTCCGTGTCCATGGGCTCCGGGGAAGGCTGCTCACCGTCCAGGGGAGCTGCCTCGGCTCCGGCTCCGGCTCCCTCTTCCCGCGGCGGGTTCAGGCGAGGGTCAGAGGAGTGGGCTGACTGAAAGGATGCCTCCGGCTCGTGGGCCTCCACCTTGGCTGAGAGGTAGAGCTCCCGAGCGCTGCGCATGACCAGCGACAGCTGCAGACTCCGGTGCAGCCGCAGGCCACCGCGCTGCATGCGCGAATGGTACATCTTCCAAACAGACAGGGTCATGATTCGTTGTGCCTCCTTCTGCACCTCCATGACAACTCGACGGTTGAGAGTAATAGGGACCGCTGGAATGAACAGGACAGGGAGCAGGTTCAACCCGGACAACCGGCTAGCTCAAGCCTCTATCCACGCGCCAGACGACGAAGTAATACCGCTAAGACGCTCTGCCCCAGCGCCAGCCACCTGGGCCCTGTTATACCCCGAATTACGTCACGGAGACGCCTAGCCCAATCAGAAGACGGCATCCGGGCTTTCCACCCCACCGAGGCTAGAGACTCCTTAAAGCGACAGGGTACAATTTACCCAGGGAGGAAAAGAGACAGAAATCTGGGCAAGGATGTCTCCCTTTCCACGCCGAGTTCTCCGAGTGGTCTCCTTTCTCTGAGTCCAGCCGTACCACCAGAGCAGGCGTAGCGTAGGGTGCCGAAGGTGGGACTCAGGGCCCACCCACATGCGTCTGGCGGCCCCAGCGGGCCCTAGGGACAAGTTTCTCTTCGCATTGGCAAGACTCAGGTTCGAGCTGAGCACTCACTGTTCCTAGCATCTTCCAAGCCCCTAATGAACATTTTCCGCACCAATAACCATGCAGATTATTTACTATGTGCCAGGCCCTGTTAAATGCTTTCCTTTTACTAATACTTACCTAATTGAACATATCTGATTTTTTCAGGTGACGAAACCAAGGCAGAGTCACTAGTCCAATATTTGTAAACGAATAAAATGGACTTTCTGGAGTGAAAGGGGCCCATTAAGGGCTCCAGCTCTTACCTGTGTCTAGCGTACGTCCCTAGGTTATAGGCAGTAAGCTGGCTCGGGAGCGAAATTACCCACCCCGCGAGCAGCCCAGGCTGCAGCTCCCACGCTCTGAACCGAGCAACCCTCCCCCCGCCCTCGGTTTCTCCAGACACGAGCTGAACGGGTGGGCTTGGCACTTCTAAGCCAGCAGACACAGCCGCATGACAGTCCCGGGAAACACGTGGCTGTCGCCCCCCAAACTACCGGTCGGTGCTCCGCCTCCGAGCCCCAGGAGGCGGGGTTCGAATTCGAGCTGCAAACTCGAGCAATATAGAGAAAGAGCAGATAGAAAGCATAGGCCTCACCCTCCGCTAGCTGTGATCATTCCAAAAAAATCTAAGTCCAATTCCTCAAAAAAGGATACAAAATGTTCGAAAACCATTCATTCGTGGTGAGGGTCCTTTAAGGGGTTAAGTCCCCACCCCTCCCCCCGCCAGACTGGCGATTAAAGCCTTCCCGCCTCCGGCGCGGGCTGACTTCTACAGCTAAATTTGGAAAGAATGAGGTAGGGCAGGCTCAGAAGACACTTCCGGCTGCCCATATAAGTACAGGGGCCGGGACTGCAGTAGTGAGCGGCCGCGGGCTTCCAGGGAAACGAGCTCTGGGCTCTGAACACGCCCTCTCCTCTCCCCCTTCCCCCTCTGCTCCTGACTCTCTGGCTCTGGCTGGAGCCCCAGGCCTCCTGACCCACTTCCAAATTAGCGGGTGGGGAGGGAGAGGAAGGTTTCACTTCCTTCCCTCCCGAGGCCAGTTAGGCGAAAGGCCGGGAAATCACACCGCCACGGCTAGGGGCTATCTCAGGACTCCCACTGACGCCATCTCCTCCAGGCCCTATGTAACCACCCTTGCCAGCACAGAGGCGACCCGCTGAGGATCTCTTCATCTCATCTCTCCCTCCTCCGACGGAGGCCCAGTTATTCCCCTACCGGCCCCCTCCCAGGTTATTTCTGCCCTCCTCCCCTACCCCCAAGTGAACTTCTTGTTTTGGAGCACCCTTCATGTCCAGTCTCAGCCCACCTCCTCACATGAGGACTCAACAATTACTCCCTCCTAGAAGACCCCCACATAACCTGTTCGCGTTCAGCTATGCTGCCACATTGCAGCGACCGGCCGAGGAGGCCCCCCCCCCCCCCCCCCCCCAGCCACCACTGAGAAACCACAATGACATCTGCAGCTCAGGCGTTATCTATCTGAGACCCCACACAGAGACTGTGACACGCATAGGGGCGACCCCTCGAGGACTCATTTGAGACATCCCACCCACTGCTCTCCAAGGGAGATCTGCCCCGCTCAGAAGACCACCCTCAAAGAAGTTCTTTTTTTTTTTTGAGACGGAGACTCAAGCTATCACCCCTGGGTAGAGCGCTATGGCATCACAGCTCACAGCAACCGCCAACTCCTGGGCTCAAGCGAGTCTCCTGCCTCA